ATGGTAGACACATCATCTGCCATCTGCGTTGCATTGCTTATTCTGGATATCCATTTCGAGGTGAAGAGGCATCTGAATTAATTTTTCCAGTTTCTGCCGAGCCAAAAATGCAGAGAAGAGGATATGTAGACTGTGGGCAGAAATGTGTCCTGTGAAGAAGTGGTAAGAAGCAGTTTGTGGCTAGGCCTAGTTGGTGCTTGACGTAAGCTGCAAGAGACTCATGAGCGAAGGCAGCGGTAGGAAGAATGGGCGGATGTAGAGCAATGACCTCGGAGAAGTAAGCCTTGCGGTTAAACTGGACTCAATGAAGGAGACGTGCCGATCTGATGGTTGGAAGATAATGTATCTGGCCTATCTATGGTCGATGAGTACGTGTGGCCATGCAGCTGAGGTGTCATGGTGATGGTGAAGCCGCGGTGCTGTTGTGTGATGGTAAGGATGTCGCATTCGTCCTGCTGCGTAACGATCTGCGGGATTAAAAGTTCGACTTCCGATTGGCGCTGGAGGGTAGACTTGGTTATAGAACGTGTGGAGGTTAAGTGACAGTAGCGAGATGCAAAAAGGCAGCACAAAGTGAGAACTAGATGCTAAAGAAATGCAATGAGAAGATGCTTGGAAGAGTGAATGAAACTTGACTCCCTGTGAGAATCTCAAATTGCCACATCTCTCAAGGATCAATTGCGGTACCAAGTTTGCAAAAGAAACGGTTTGACCTCATCGTGGCAGCTTGGTTGTGCTGTCAAGGCCACCTAGACTAACGAGCACTATCTGAAGTCCTATGCCATAGAGATGATGATAATTTCCGGTCAAACCGAGATTTTGGTGCATTCCCGGACGTTCTAGCTGAGTGGTGTTGCCCTGCCAACGAGAAAGAGGTCAAACTCTTATATACACCGAAAGGAGACCAAGATCAAATAAGGACCATACCATCTCGGTCTTTAACCTTGCGTACGTCGCTCCAAGCGATAGAAAGATCGACATTGGACTTTCGGCGACAATGACACATGCAGGCCTTTGGGTGCCATTGACATTCACTCAACCTCACCTCCCCAGGGGCTTTCGCATTCTGATCAGCCCGGAAGAGGATCCGATTATATTATGAACTCATCTTTACTCCTAGAGGGACTCAAGCAAACATCAATCTCCGAGTAACGCTTATCTCAATCGCAAGTGGTTTGATGGTTGTTATAGGTCGCATCAGACAAACGGTACATACAAATTTACACCCCTATGGTTGCTGGCAGCAACACCATGTGAGAAGGCTTCGGCTTAATTTCAACTAGTATGCATGTCTTCGTCGTGCTGACTGAGACTTTCACATGTCCTACATGCACAGCATTATACGCCAAAGCCTTTGCAGTTAATCCGCCCTACTGAGTTCCTATGGCAAATGCCATACAGAGATGAGCTTCATTTACTATAAATAGACACTCTCGTCCTCACCCTATCAGTAATAGAGGGAATTATAAAGCGTCGCACCGTTTCTTTGCCTGGACTAATATTGTATCAGTACAGCGAATTCGCGTCATGTCATCACACAACATGGCAGCGCAGAATCTACACACCAATCACTTATGCTTTAACAACGTCGTTTGGACCTGTAAAAACCAAAAGCATCTAGCTTTTGAACAAATCGTCTGCCTTCTAAAATTAAAGTCTACTGCAGAACTGTTGAGCTTACTTCCATTTCAAGCAAAAGTGTTGGGTGAAAAAATTCGAAGGTCGGTTCCACCAGAAGACGACGGCGGAACCGACCTTCTAAATTCTTCACCCAACACTCTTACTTGAATTGGAAGTGAGCTCAACAATTATGAAACAAGAGATTCCTCGAAACCCAACTTTTCTTCGCATATACTGCAGAACTGTCACTTGCCACATACCGTCGGGCAACGGAGACACTAGCGGAGGCCCGTTTTCCCTGCGCTGTTCCCGAGTCAACCACGAACTTCGGCCGAGACGGACCTTCCACGTACGTAATAAGTGCGTCAACATTTCCATTTTTAACAGAGTGGCTTCAAATCGTCTTCAATGTCTTGCATTTATCGTTAGTCCTCTGTTCTTACCCCACAAACATAAGCCTTCCTTTCTTACTTATGATTGTCCGGAAGTAAGAATGTCGTGGAGTATAAGAAGTGGGCAAAACTTTGATACGAAACACTGTACAGATAGGCTACCATGGTTTTGTGCCTTAACAGGCAAAGATAAACGCATGATACGTAAACGACATTGGGAAGCGATGCGTTCATGCGACTATGTCACATTCGGCTGGACAACAAGCCGAATAGCCAAAGTAACGAGTAGTCGTGAGGGGGCAAAATGAGCTTCTAAGGATACTGTCAGTGTAGGTTGATTCACTTGACGCATCGAATATGTTTCGATACTTTCCTGTCTGACAGAGGCTGCTGAAATTCGAGTGAAGCCTATAAAAATGCAAATAGTTAACATGCCGGTACTGGAAGGCCACATTCAAAGCAACAACAGGTTGTGCCTTCAAATGAACGCAGCCAAGCTGTGGAAGCGAGTCTAAACCAAGTCCTTTCAATTAAAGTAAGTCAATACAAATCTGAAAGACAATGCATTTGTTCATTCACAAGTAGTGCTCAAAATAAATATTGCAACAAGTAGTTGAATGGAATGTATTCAGCATATTTCGCTTAAGGAGATGAGACCAATAGTTGAATTTTCCCAAGATGATATGAATAGAGCTGACGCCTCCATTGCATTTTACATAGCTTTACTTTCCCAAAGGGCATCTCCTCCAGGATGAACTGCAGTTTAGACCTCGCCTAGATCTTATTAACACCCCCAGTGGGATCCGTATCATGAAGGACAGGATGCAATCTCGAAAGGTTAACCACTACGCCACGTTCCCACGAGTTCCATTGGGTCACAGGACTGATGTGAATTCCATATCGCTTTCTTTCGAAAGATTCTCGATGAAGCTAAGTTATAAGTAATTTAGTCGATATTCATAACAAACATAAATTTGCCTTATCGGCAATCCCACAAAAAGATGTGATATGGGCAAATGCCCAGCCTTCCCTGAATTTCACACCTGCCGTGACCCAAGGGCACTGGTGTCAGCGTGGCGTAGTGGATGTGTCGAGTTCATAAGCTGTGCTGTCATAGCTCGACTCACACTGTAGCTGTTGATAAGACCTAAGCCCCATTCATCCTGGAGGATGTGAAATTCAATGAAACCGTCAGTTCTTCTCATATCATTGTGGGAAAATTTAACTACCAATCCTTAATCCCCTCAAATGAAATAGGGTGAATACATCTCATGTAACTGATTTAATGGTAGTCTCGAGACCCTACTTATAAACGAAAACCAAGTTGCTAAATTTGAATAATACTGTCAAGTTGGTCAGATATTAGGTATGAGAGAATGAGTTCGTATCGAGGGGAATAATAAAGCATCATATTATAGACATTCTTTTCCCCAGACTTACCATTCTGGCTCGCAGGGGTAGAGGTCAACCAAATAAGATGACGATCCAGGGCCTGTGTGTTAACGTTTAACTAATAGCACTTCCTTGCTAAACTGCCAATCTCAGGAAATTCTATTTCAAATACCTCCCAGTTTATATTTCATAAAATTATATTCACACCCAGCGGGACAAGTCGACAATATAGGAAACGAAATATGGCAGTTATTTCCCCGGAGCCCAATAAAGTATATTTCTTGTACGCAATCCTTAATCGGTACTTTCGTATTGTATTAGTTCGCCACAGGAGTGTATAAACGAACGGAAAGATCGAGCAACTTTTAGGTGGAAAATAACGTCCGGGTTTGCTAAAAGTTTCAACTGCTTCTGCACATATTTCATATTCGAATGCGCAAAAATAACTGGCTGAGGGGTAAAATGCAGGCTCAGACAAGATTCAATCAAAACATTGTGTGATTAAGGCAAAAACTTGATGGGGTAGTTCTGCTTGTAAGAAACACTAACATTTTGAACATTTAAATGTAAAATACAATAAGTTCGGCACCAAAGGATACTCGATCCGAGAGATGCGACCCCGGCCAGCTGATAAAATAAGAATACTCATGGAACATTATCCGCTAGATAGCTTTGCGACATATGGAAATCCACAGTCGTGTCTGTCAATCATAACCTATCGTGGACATTTGAGAAAACAAGAGTCCGGCTGCCCAACGCCTCGGAAATATAGTTCATATATTTATTATAGTCTGGACTTTAATTGCAAATAAAGGAGCAAGGAAGGCAACAACGTAAGTTACCTCAAGATTAAAACCACCCCATCAAATTAGTTAGCACGACAGTAGCCTTATAAATTCTCATAACTTTCAAAAAATATATATCCCACATCAAATTCAGTTATATTAAGAAGGTATTTAAAAATGTCGAAAATAATCTTAAGTTGGTATCACTTTAAGGCCGATTCTAACATAAAAAGTTGAATCTAGATGTTTGAAGCAAAAAAACTCGATACGCAAAACTGGATCAAGCCATATTAGGAGGCTTAAATGCAGACTAACGTAATTATTGAAGTCGTCTGACCTTGCTTTCGCAACTTGGTCATATTGGTAGGAAGTCTTAGAGGAACGCACCTAGTCCGAAGTCCATCCTATGCATCATCATTTGTAGAATAGGACCGTGGACGTGGTACATTCCCAGACGCTTCACCGGCAACGTATTCGACATAATCAGTGAGTCTCGCCATTCGTAGCACCATATTACAAATGTTCAGGGACAAGTGAAGCCAATCCTTTGACCAAACGTGTGCTAAACATTTGTGGTATCTCCCCTTCTGCCCTGGGCTATTCACATTTCAGATATTCTCCTATTATGCCTTCCTCTGTCACAATTTTTTACCGTGCTTATTTTTAATGTATTGAGGTGTGCTCCTTCGAGCGGCATTCATGAAAACAGTTCACAGTCTGGGAATGTTGACCAGAGTCTGTCATTGTTTCGTAGTCCTTCCCTGGGTCCAATCAGTCCCCCTCTTGCCCCGTCAAATCCGTCAGCTATCTCCCTGGTATATGTATTTCACTTGAGCCCTGACCCCCATCTGTGCTACTCGAGGCGTAATTCGTGTATTCCTTGTACCTGGGTGATTGATTAGAGGCTTAAGTCTCTAATTAAGTCTCATGGTGATGCCTTTGTAACATGGACCACATCTCTTGTAAAACCTACTGTCAGCCAACTAGCTCCAATCTCCGCCTCGTCTATCCTGTCTCTATCCCTAATACCAAGTCTATGACTTGCCATGCTCTAGTTTCTTGTGTGTCGACCCACAAATGTTGTGGCACTGCTGACTTTGATTAGGTTCAATGTTGAACAACAAACGTTTGTGGTTTGGCACACAAGAGACTAGGGCATAGCAAGTCATATATTTGGTATTATAGGTAAAAAGAGGATAGAAACAGTGGAACTAAGAGCTAGTTGGCTAACAATAGTCATGGTCCAAGGATCATGTTTATGATCAAACACGTTTATTGTTAGCCAAACAGCTTTAGTTTCCACCTCGTCTTTCCTGTTTCTATCTGTAATACCATGTACATCGCTTGTGTGTCAACCTACAAATGTCGTGGTTCTACTTGTTTTGACCGGGCTCAATAAAGACGTGCCTCTTTGCTTCTGATTGTTTCTTTCTCATCCCCCTGCGATCGCTTTTTCTAAAATTACCTTGATCCAGTCGTCTTCTTTTTGCTGATCTTATTGTTGCCTGGTCTTTTTGAGTTTGTTTAGGCAATATGCAAAGTTTTCGCTAATCCTGCCTTTTTTTTGGTCAGTATTTCGATAGCCTCTCGGATCATGCATTTTATTGTATCTTCACCACATGCAGCCAACCTTTCGGTCGATTTCCAGTCGATTTCTTGCCCCGTTCGTGCAATGTGTTCCGCTATTTCGGATCTTTGTGTATCCATGTTCTTGCAGAGTCTTTCATGTTCCTTGATTCTCAGGCCGATCTTTCTTCCTGTTTCACCGATATACTTATGCCCATTTGCCGCATTTGGTGCGATAAACTCTCTAAACA